GAGAGGATTTCACATCTTGAGGTGGAGTCGACTATCTGGTCTATGCGTGGCAAAGAAAAATGGTCCTTTGGACACGCCTTGTTGAGGCCAGTATAATCAACACGCATTCTCCATTTCCTGGTCTTCTTTCTAACAAGAACATGATTGGCCAACCAGTCAGAGTGGTATACTTCCCTGATGAATCCAGCCGCCAGGAGTTTGGCGATCTCCTCGCCTATGGCCCTACGCCTCTCATCATCAAAGCGACACAGTCATTGTTTGGCGGGCTTTGAGCCCAGGATGAGGCGTAATGCGTGCTCGGTGACCTCCCACGGTATGCCCAGCATGTCAGAAGGTTTCCATGCGAAGATATCGCGATTGGTGCATAGAAAATCGGTGAGCTCGCATTCCTATTTGGCCGAGAGCTAGGCCCGATCTACACCATCTTGGTTGGGTCGGTGGGGTTGATCCCCACCGCCTTAGTTTCCTCAAGCAAGTGGAAGGCAGTCAAGGAGGTTGGCTTGTTGTAGTCCGAGACTACTGGAGTCGACGATTGTCTGAGCTGAGGGAGCTCGGCTGAGTTGATGACGGTAGTGGCAAGCTCAAAATGCTCGCGGTTGCATGTGTAGGCGTGCGAAAAGGTGCTACCCATAGTGATGATGTCGTTCGGTCCTGGCATCTTTAGCTTGAGGTAGGTGTAGTTGGGGATCGCCATGAACTTGGCGTAGCATGGCTGCCCCAAAATGGCGTGGTAGGACCCCAGGAAGTCCACCACCTTGAAGGTGAGGACCTCCAAGCGGAAGTTGGCTCGGTCGCCAAATGTGACAGGCAGGTCGATCTGCCCGAGCGGGTATGCCTGCGTCCTTGGGATCACGCCATAGAAGGGAGAGCTCACTAGGCAGAGCTCCGACCGGGGGATGCGCATGGCGTCGAGGGTGTCGACATAGAGGATGTTGAGGCCGTTGCCTCCGTCCATCAGCACCTTGGTGAGGCGCTTCTTACGGACAATGGGGTCGACGATGAGAGGGTAGCGACCCAGTCTGGCGACATGGGAAGGATAGTTTCTCTGATAAAAAGTGATCGAAGATTCAGACCAGCTAAGGAAAGAGGGGACGGCCGTTTCGGCGACGCATGCCTCTCTGTAGCGCACTTTGTGCTGGCGCTTGAAGTAGATGGCATCGGATCCTCCAAAGATCATGAGGCATTCCTCGGGATTGAGGAAGCCATCCCCATCCTTGCCCGCCATGCCTCCTTTCTTAGCCGCTGCTTCCTTGCCCTTTCCTTCTTTTGGTCGACCGAGCCTATCGTAGAAAGCGCTTAAGGAGTTCGCAGTCCTTGTTGAGGTGCTTGACGGGGTAGGTGTGGTTGGTGCATGTGCTCTCCATGAGCTTGTCGAAGTGGTTAGGCTGGCCCTGCTGAGGCTGCTTGCCCGCATGATCGGCCACGGCGACCAAAGCGGAGTTGGCCGGTCGGCACTGATCCTTCTTGTTCTTTTTGCCCATTTGCATGGAGGGGCCCTCGTCTTGGTCCTCGTGCTTAGCCTTGCCCTTGTCCCGGCCTCCACTAAAGACTGCTCCGACCGCCTCCTCGCTGGAGGCGTGGTTCATGGCGACATCGAGCAGGTCACTAGTGGTATGGGGCTTTAAACAGCCAAGCTTATGGATCAAGGACTCGTAGGTTGTCCTGGAGAGGAATGCGCTGATGACGTCCGTGTCGACGATATCAGGAAGGGAGTTGCATTGTTTTGAGAACCTACAGATGTAATCCCATAGAGACTCGTTGGGCTCCTACTGGCAGCTCTTGAGGTGTCAGGAATTCCCAGGATGGACATACGTCCCCTGAAAATTCCCGATGAAGATCCTCTTGAGATCCGCCCAGTCGCGGATGCTGTCAGGCGGGAGGAATTCGAGCCATGCTTGAACATGTTCCCCCACGTAGATGGGGAGGTATTGAATGATGAAGTAGTCATCATCCACTCCTCCGGCTCAGCAGGTGAGCCGAAAGTCTTTGAGCCATATACCGGGATTTGTTTCCCCGATGTATTTGTAGATGTTGGTGGGCGGTCGGAAGCATTGTGGGAACGACGCTTTCTTGATGCGATGGCCAAAGGCTCGTGGTCCCGGACCGTCTGGGCTGGGACTCTAGTCGTCTGAGTCGGCGACCATGCCTGGGGTGTGTTTCCCCACTCCCCTCGATGGTCCCATCGGGGTCCATCCCGCCTGCTCTCACTGCCCCTTGATGGACGTCATCATCACGCCGGGCCTGATGCTAGTTGTTGATGACACTGCGAGCGTCTTGGTTTGGCCTGAACTATTCGCGCATAGGTGGTCGGTGTGGAGCAGGTGCTGAGTCAGGCCGTGGTGCAGCTGCGGCCTCCTGTTCCACGCCCGGTGGCTGTAGTGGTGAGCAGATGGAGCGATTCGACTGGTGCGCCCCCATTTCCACGGTAGGGAAAGACACCATGAGCCGGTGTCACGATGCGGAGCTCTCCGCCTGCTGAACGGCGGTGGTTTCCACCAGCGCCCGGAGGTTCCGGTGGATCGCCTGCTCCTGGGGGTCGACAGGCTCGGGAAGGCCGCGCAGAAGCATTGCCGCAACGGTGATGTTCTGGTCAGCCCGAGTGAACTGTGGGGGATCGTTTCCTCCGTCCATGATGTTGCACTGGACCTAACGGGCACGACCCCGTGCATCGCTCGTCGGGTTACGCGCGTGTGGCGCAGCGTGCTGCGCCGAGCGCACCAGCACTCCTGTCATGCCACCTTGTACTTCTCTATGTTGTCCACACTCCTGTCACGGTACAAGCGTCTATAGCATTGTTTCTTCTCCTTAATAGCCCTTTGGACTTTCTTGTTCCACCACCAAGTATCTTTAGCCTCGCTTCCACTTTCTTTGGTTACTCCACACACCTCTAAGGCCACCTTCCGAATGTTGGTTGCCATCTTCTCCCACATGTTGTTTATGTCCTCTTCTTCCTTCCAAGAGCCCTCTTTGATAACTCTTTTCCTGAATACCTCTTACGTCTCCCCTTTCAGTTTTCACCACTTTGTTCTTTCAATCTTAGCTTGTTTATCTCTACGGGCACGCACTTGAGAACGAAAGACTAACTAGAGTTGTTTTGTTGAATTTATTTGATTTGATTTTTGTATTTTTTTGGTAGCTAATGATATGTAAAAAGTCTGGTGTTAAGAGTATGGAGGATGTGTTTTGTTTTTCTGCCTTTCAGTGAAATTGGTGGGCTTTTTTTGTTTGTGTGTAAATGTATTTTCTAGCTTTGATGTGTGTGTGTGCGCGCTCGTGCATGCGTGTGTGTGTTTGTGTTTTCAGGCGCTGCTGCTGTTTCTTGGATGCTGGAGCAGTAGTAAACTGCAGTTGTTATTTTATTAAATGGTTTTGTTTGTTTTACTGGGAGTTGCATGCATAGATAACTGATTCGAGTGTTGCAGCTGCAGGATGTTATGTTTGGGTACTGCATGACGGTCATGTGGCCTATGGGCTGTATTTTGTTTGTTTGGAGCAAGCTATGACTTTGAGATTTCAATAGGCCACATACATGGTAGCTGGTTTGTGTGTAGATGTGTGCTAGCTTTGATGCACAGTGGGCACTACCGGACGACGGAGGAGAACTTCCAATAGTTCAAGAGCTTCCTCAAGGACAACTTGGTTGATCTAACCAATGTTAAGGTTGGCACATCGCACCCTGATCATTTGGAAAGTTAACTGAACATCTCTAAAGTTTTTTTTGTCTATTGATTTTTGTTTCATTATTGATATCTATTGATGTAAGGGACCAAAAGAGTAAGGAGGACGTGTAGTGTTGATGACTTGACGAGTTGATGTTTGTTTGGCTTTTGGTTTCAGGGTCAACTTCATTTTTTTTGGCATTTTTCTTTTTAGCTTTGTTGCCTTACTATTGACATGTTTCAGGCTTTTGTTTTTAACTTTACATTCATATATCTCTGTTTGTTTGAGGTTCATATTTTCAGTTTTGGACCAGTTCTCTTGTATTTGTTTGAGATGTGTCAAGTATGTTGATAATTGTAGTGACTATACTAGTGAACTTGTCTGGGATTGGCTGTATCTTTGACCATTTTGGTTTGCCTTAGCTTTGTTTTTTGAAATGTTAAAGTCAGATGCCCTTTTTAGGTGTACTATTGTGAGTTGACAGGTTCTTATGATTAAGGATATTTTTCTTTTGTTGTCACTATTCAGGTGGTTATCTCAATGTCTACTTCGCAGAGGAGATACCTCAAGCCCTGCTTTTTGAGATGGCGGATCAGATCTTTTCACTCACTAAGCTTATTAAATTTGGTAGCTTACTGGACTTCCAAGGTGTCGTTGTTTGGTTCTTTGTTGAAGTCAAAAAAAAAAAAAAACTGCAGATGTTTCCTGAAGATGAGCATGTCCTGAAGTCATGCTAGGTTTGTGCCTTTGAAAGTAAACCTCTTACTATTGTGCGATCTAAATTTTCTCCAAATTACATAACTATAACCTACTGATGCCACTGTCCCCAACTCTAACTTTTATATGAAAATGGCATCAAGAACCATTAGTTTTATGTACATTATGCTCTTTTGATAATGTTCACTCTTCACAACCAGTGTCTATTTTCGTTTTTTATGGCCCTATGATCTATGCAGCAGCATCTATGTTCACTGAGCTTATTAGATGTTTTTGCTAGCTACTCCGTATTGTTTTCTGGTTGACCAAATATTTTCTAGAAGAAATTGTATCTGATTTGAAGCTAATTGTTGACTTCTCAACCTTGTATTATATAGTTCACATTTTCAGGTGTAACATTGGATCCAGTTCATGCCACCATCATCACCAGCACAATTGTTGTTGTATTTTGTTTCACCACTCTGGTTGGTATCTTAATTAAAGAACCGAGCAATATGTGAATTCATGTCGTTTCCTAGTTACTAAAAATTATGTCTTAAAGCCATCATCTGACTTGAGAAAGCTGAAACTTGCCCATTGTTTCAGGTGTTTGGCTTCCAGACCAGGCCCCTCATTAGTGCCATATGCTCTCGCGTCAGTCGAGGGCGCTGTCCAGAGGCCATAGCACAGGCAGCAACTTCCTGAAAGATGACTTCGCCCTGCCATTTCTCTCGTCCGACGAAGGCGCGTCTAGCAGCAGTATCGTCTTGGAGCAAGCCAAGAGGAGCTTATCCATGCTGCTGGAGAGGCCTGTCCACATGGTTCACATCTACTGGAGGAAGTTCGATGACAGGTTCATGAGGCCAATCTTTGGTGGACCGCAGTCACATAGACTGCACATGCAGACTTCAGAAGCCAAGCTTATAGTTCGCTGCCCTTAGACTCAAAACCTGAACTGTCTGGCTTTGCTGTAGCATAGAACAGCTACTCTGTTCAGTATTCTATAATGTTCCTTTTGTTCCCTGCTATTGGATGTTGGGTTTGTAAAACCCGTTATTGGGTGTCTAATTTGTTAACGTTCAACTTGGCAGATTTGTCAATGCATTATCTGTCAGATTTCTTTTATGTGAGTTGTCATCTTTTGATTGGCCAAAAAAATCTGACAGATTTTGACAAAATAAATCTGTCAACGGATAGCTAGATAGACCCTTTTTTATGCTCATATATTCATCCTCAATCCATAAGTGTAGAGGTAGGTTGGTATGCCTGCAACACGGGCAAGTCGACCCATTTCCAAGCATGCTCTACTCCTTGATTTAGCCAACGGTTTGAAGCCGGTTGCTCCTAACTGGAAGAGGGTCCAAAGGGTACGAAACTTGTTGACCCACATCAACCTTGGGTCGCCTCGCTCGCGGCGTGCGCTCCTCCACCGCCTCTCTCCGTAGAGTCCGCGGTTTGGAAAATCTGGTTGGCTAGTACGTCGACACGGCAGGGGCAGCGTATGGCGCTAAGTACGGTGGTGGCACCGCCGCCGTTCAGAAGAATGGTGTGTACGAGAGCAAGAGCGACGGGAGCGGTACCCTTGTTTTGTTCTGCATCAAGTTCGACCCTGGGTGCCCCGCGGGGCCAGCATAGCTGAGGGGCAATTCGACCCTAGTCCACAAGTAAGAGCAACAGGATGGAGGGGCAGCAACAGGGGCGCTCCGATCCGCCCCGTTTGCAGGCTTATAGGTTGGTGTGAAATTTTTTGGTAACTTTGGTTATCAAATCATTGGTTTGGCAAAATTTTGAAAACCAACCAAGCAGACCCAATAACTTCATCTTTTTCTATTTCATTGTAAGAGGAGAAATTAAAAATAAGTCTTGCCATAATGCACGATGGAGCTGTGACAGGAACCGGGCCAAAACTCTAGCGGCCTAGAATCTCTTTTCCTGAATTTTTTTTATATAACTATCTATTTTCTTGGGGCCTTTGTTTGGATGTTATCATATTCATCTTAATCCATGTGTATGTGTGTTTGAATAGATTATGGTGAAATTTAGTTCAAGTTCTACTCTAATCTACCCAACACATACGGATTAATACGAATCCGACTATATCGCCCGTAATCCCCTTTGAAAGAACGAAATACAGCATAGATGAGGGGGCGTATCCACAAAATCTCGTCCCGTACCCGTAACCCGTCCTTACCAGGGGAGTGTCGCCAGCTTATTCGGCCACTCCCCACCTCTCTCCCTCCCTCCCTGCTCGCCACGCGCCGTACCAGCGCCGCGCGCCACATGGCTCCCGCGTTCACTAGCCTCCTCCCCGCCGCAACCTCCGCCGCCGCGACCGCCTCGCGGCTCCCCTCGGCCGCCGCCGGAGCGGCATCCGCCTTCGTGCGTCTCCCGCATCACCCGACGGGCTGGGCTGGGGCCTCCGTCGAGGCGCCGCGTACGGCGGCGCGCAGGCGGGCGCCCGGCGTCGCCTACGCCACCGCCGCCACCGACAAGAGCATCTACGACTACACCGTTAAGGTGCCCTGTTTTCTTCTGTTCTGTTGAGATTGAGATTTCCGCTTGCCATGGCCCCGTGATTTTTTTTGCCATAGCCTGCTGCGGTGGCTCCAATGGATGGCGTTGCGGTGTGACGTCCTGACATGCCTGAAATCGTTTGTGCGGTCGTAATGGAAGCACCGTCTGATTTAGACTGTTTTTGTCTTGCTGCTTGTTGCGCGCTGTTACTGTATCTGTATTTGGCATCGAGGTGGTGTTGTTGGGGTTGGTGGCCGGTGGGGGCGTTGCAACCATGTAATGATTAGTGTTTTAAGTGTTCCGTGGCCCTGACTGTTATGTTTGATAATCGGCTGAAACATCCATCATGTGGATGCTATTGAAGCGTTTACTAAATGTGTATGGCAACATTAGTATCACTATCAGGGTTGCAATGTGTTGCAAATCGTAGAATGTTTCATGGGATTATGTGTTCTAAGGAGTTGTTGAGGTAGGCGCAAATTTGTAACCGTGACCAATCCAATTTTACGATATACATGTTTTTTTAGGGTTGTTGAACTTGGCTGAAGTTGGCCAAATCAGGTTGACAGAGTCACAACCACTTTTGCAGATCAGGTCCTTCTAAGGGTAGGTTAAGTCAAAGGCGCAGAGTGTTGGTTGAGGTATCATTTTGGGGCGCTGTAGCACCTTCGTTTTTAGTAAATAGTGTTAACATGGACTAACTAGGCTCAAACGTTCGTCTCGCAATTTCCCACCAAACTGTGCAATTAGTTTTTCTTTTCGTCTACATTTAATGCTCCATGCACGGGCCGCAAACATTCGATGTGACAGGTACTGTAGCAACTTTTTGGAATTTGGGGTGGAACTAAACAAGGCGTGAATGATTCTCCATTCTTCTGACTTTTAAGGATGCAAAGTATACTGTGCTTGTTTTCCAACTACCATTCCACATAAATTATAAAATGGATTATAAAAATGGATATTGTCGTTTGTTGGCATGTAATGTTAACCAACTAGATGATTCGCTAAACTTTCACAGAACAAACCTCTTCTTTTCAGATGCGTGATTGTGATAGAATTAAGTTTGCATCTGAGTCATGCTTTAAGATGAAAGTGTTAAACCCACCATGGATATTGCTGTTCGATAATGTGTTCATTCATGTGCATATTTTCGATTGATTGATTCCAATTCCTCCTTTCAACTTTATTGGCAAATTTAAGGTGCATGCAAAGTTTGAAGGTGGGCATTTTAAAACATTGTTTTTAAGATGTATTAGGAAATTCTTGTAGTCCTAGACTTATTGAAGAAAAGCTTGTCCAACACCGGTTGAGATGGTTTGGACATGTCCAACGGAGACCTCCAGAGGCACCGGTGCGTAGTGGAATCCTAAGCCAGGATAGTAACGTGAAGAGAGGCAGAGGAAGACCGAAGTTGACTTGGGTAGAGGCAATAAAAGGAGACTTGAAAGGATGGAATATACCCAAAGACTTAGCCTTAGATAGGAGTGCTTGGAAAACAACTATTCACGTGCCTGAACCTTGATTGCTTCTGATGGGTTTCAACTCTAGCCTATCCCAACTTGTTTGGGACTTAAAGGCTTTGTTGTTGTTGTTGCTAGACTTATTGGACCAGTTAACCAGCTATATGCTAGTGAATGACTTAAAATAGCAGGGTGGTTAGTTGCAAAAATATCAGGCTGGGTCACAGTGAAAATAAGTAAAACAAAGAGAGCTTATTATGAGAAATTTCATGGGATACCATTTGTTTAGTGGTGAAATCTGAAGTTTGTGAATTTTAGGTTTCCCCAATGCTTTTCCTCCACATGTTGTAGTTTATTGGCATCTTACATACGAACACATGAAGAAATAACTTTAGTACTTTACCTTAATAAGATCGAATATGTATGCACTTGTACCTGAAAGAATTATTCACTTTTCAGGACATTGATGGAAAAGATGTTCCTCTTAAAAAGTTCAAGAATAAGGTGTTGTTGATTGTTAACGTTGCTTCTCAATGGTAATTCATTGAAAAATCTTTCACCAACCACATTCTATGGTAATTTATTTAGTATTTTCTGGCATTTAACTTGGCATTCATCTGTGAATCTCAGTGGGTTGACAACAGCAAATTACACTGAACTATCTCATATCTATGAGAAGTACAAGACTCAAGGTACGGCAATTTGCACTGAACAATGTTGTGTATACTTATCATTTTAGGAAATCTAAACTAGACATTATATTTCCAATTAAAAGAGTTGCCAAAATTTAAGTTGCTGTACCCTTTCAATTGTACGTTTGATCCTAATTATCTCATAAAACCACACAATCAAAACCAGCAGTTTAACTCTAATATACGCTGATGTTTCTTGTTTATGCCACTTTATGGGATCATTCAATTAGGCCTCCTGTTATTATGTAAGTGACCTTTTTGTTTGTCACATATATCCAGTACGCCTATTCTACTGGATCATCTCAATGCATTTGCTGATTGTCCTGATTTCTTGTCTGAGTGGGCATAGGTCTAGGAGTTTAAAGGTTTCTATTGCTTTTTGCAATATTTCTTTAGTCGTCATAAGTGAGTAGTTCTTGCTTAATATATCTGTGTGGGGGCAGACCCACATTGAGCCAAGCCAGGGCACATGCCCACACTCATATTTCTGTTTCAGTGGATGTTGGGCCTTATCTACGGTAGTTGTAAAAGCGCAGTAGTTACCAGACCCCTGCTTGATTTTTGGGCTGGTCTGCCCCTTAGTGTGTACAGCCATTCCAAATGTTGTCATTGTGAAGAGGATCCTCCCCTAATCTACAGTTAGTTCCAAAAGTCAACTTTAGAGTTTTGATGCACATTCTCCTCTCAGGTACATGAAAAGGAAATGTTGATGTTAGCATGAACCTTGACTTCTTGGGTTAATAGTAGATTTGGCATCCTGCATTGTGTTGTTTAATAGCTTATTTGACATGTAGGGTTTGAGATTCTGGCATTTCCTTGCAATCAATTTGGTGCACAAGAACCTGGATCAAATACTCAGATTAAGCAGTTTGCATGTACAAGATTCAAAGCTGAATTTCCTATTTTTGACAAGGTATGGTAATTGCAGGCAGCTCAGTCATCTGTTCCATAGTTTATCCTGCTTAACATTGTCTGACTTTACTAATAAAAATATTAGTGCATGATGTCTTTTGCTCTTCCTTCTACAATATCAGGTTGATGTCAATGGACCTAATACAGCTCCCATCTATAAATTTCTGAAGTCCAGTGCTGGAGGATTTTTGGGTGATCTAGTCAAGTGGAATTTTGAGAAGTTCTTAGTGGACAAGAATGGCAAAGTTATTGAGAGATATCCACCAACAACTTCACCATTCCAGATTGAGGTGCGTGATTACATCTCTATGTTACAAGTCACACCTTCTTTGTATATTCAGTCTATTTTTGGACTCTGTGTTATTCACTTATTCAAAATGAACATTTTCTTTTCCATATGGTTATAAGGGCTGATTGGTACTTAATTAGGTGATGGGCACTTAATTACATATGCCTATGCAGTGTCATCAATCATTCATTTCCCTATTAAGTAGTGATCTTGTGAGCATATCATGTGTCAATTAAGTGGAAGCATGTAATCATAATATCTATAACCTATGAAACATTTTTGAAGAATCATTTAAACTAAGAATTAAATCAATTTGTCCTCAACAGCTGATTTTTACATAGTAAATTTGAAATAAAAGATATAATAGAACAAAATAACAACCTGTGGACCCAATAATGGATTTGTGTACATCACGTTTAGGGATGATGACTTAGACGAGCATCTTTTGAAGTGTCATTCAACATTTTTTGCTCATAAAGTTGCTTTAGTGACCATCTTGAGGAATGGCATTTTAAATTTTTCTTGATGCTTGGTGCTTGGTACACCAATAGCACAGAAAGTACTTGATAGGTAGGCAACTAGGGTGCTTGGTGCATCCACCTGAAATTAACCTTGTCACACTTGGGCTATAAGGCTATAACAGAGAGCTTCATATGGAATTTCCATGTGGCTCTAATAGTTCGTGTTTGGCAGTGCTGACAAATAGAATGGGCCTATGGAAAGAATTTCTCAGTGCTCATTAAGTCGTGACAATACTAATACATGAGTCACCCATGCTCAAGCAGCCCTGAGCATGCCAACTGTGGCATTAAGATTGTTTGGCTAAGAACTTTAGTTTTACTGGGATATACTTTTACTGATGTTCTGGAGCTCGCTTTGTCAAAAGAAGCATCCAGTACTGGCTTTGGTATAAAATATTCTCAAGTTGCAGTAATGGATCGGTTTTTGACTTTCATCGTGTTTTGTGCTGTCATTTTGAAGTGGAAAGCCATATCCCATCAGTTCTTGTTCCATTTATCTTCCCATTGATTTGAGCAACAATTTTGCTTTCAACCTGTTTTTCCTGTCACATTTCAGTGCATTAAGACATCATTGCTTTGAAATCTTTTGGTTGGTTTTAGTTTTAAAATGCCCACTTTTGTGCTTCATGGAGTCGCACGTTCACCTGTCTTCTTGCGGTTATGATTTCTTAGGCCACTTGCTTAAGAAAGAAATCCAAACCCTTTGTGCTGACCTCCCTGCGGTTTTCGGTTTACATTACCATTCCACGTTGCTCACAGCCTCCTTGCTATGAATTTTCTTGCAGAAGGACATCCAGAAACTCCTTGCGGCATAAGTACTTCCAAGTCTTTCAGTTGAGTATCTGTATGACTGTATATAGGCCTCGTCTAGAAGCTAGAGTAATACGTAATTATATATGTTTTCTGTATTGTATTCTTTCTTGTAAAATAACTCATTCATTATCTATACGTGGTTATAGATGTAATATGAGACTATATTAGATTTGGACTATCAACTCCGAAGTTCATCTGTCCACTGCCCAATGGATTAGCTTATGGGGTGCACTGGCTGGGAGCATCCTGAATCCTTGACTTGGGTTCACCTGTAGTTTGGTGTAGTTGGTTTGTGTACCGAGTCCAGATGGATCCGTCTGGTGCTGTCTCCACGCATGCGTGCGGCATTGCTAGTTTATGCCGCTATTCTGTATGCTGTGTTTAGCCAGTTAGCAACACCCAATGTGATCTCTATCAATTAATTAGTGTCTGACCATTTCTGGTCTAATCCACGAGTTTCGTCGTAAACGATCGTGGATTATTTACTGCTGGCTGGTTTGGTGTGAGAGAAAAATACTGTTTCAGCTTATAATCCACGATCATATACGAGCAAGCGAACAGGCTGATCTCCACCAAAATCCAACTAGGCCTCTCCATCATGATATTGCCCAGTGCCCCACACCGACCTGACGCTTTTGCCGAGTTACTTGATGGCGTTCGCATGAAGGATTGGATTACGCCCTTTATTGATCATAATATTCTGGAGTGACAAGTAACCACAAAGGCCTGTTTAGGTTTGCTTGGATTTCATCCGAAAGTTATAAGAGTTTTGTATCTAAACCAAGGAATATCTATATGGTTCCTAAGGAATATCAGCTTATATATCCTAACACTTTTTTTTAGAAGGGGTGGAGAAGGGGCGGCAAAAGCTTTGCTGCGATTTATATTAGACGAAGAAAATAAAAATATAAGTGTCGTAGCTAAGGTCTTGTTCCAAGGTCTTGTTTGGAATGGGAGAATCATTCCAAGTTCCGTAGGATTAAGGACCAACACGTGTAGTGTGCCTGCCTTTAGTTAAGACATGTTCGCTTGAACTTATCAGCCGGCTTATCAGCTAGAATTTACAGTATTTTTCTCTCACAATAAATCAGCTTTCAGTCGGCTTTAATATCAGCCAAACAGGCCCTAGTCGTCAAAAGATAGAAAACAAATCTGGATAAGGTCAATGTGATCTCACCAGTAGTAGGCCATGATATCATGCTTTTGCAGTATTCACTAATCACCATTAGCTTTGACCTTAGAGAACGCCTGCCAGGGCTCACTCCCCCACCCTTTACTCCCTTATTTAGATGACCATCTACCCATGGCGTAGCCTTTCATCACCCTTACAATCCATAGCAATGCTTGAACAATCCAGACCTCATTGTAATTGTAATCCCCACAATGCCTCGATTATTCCTCACCCTAATTGCCATCGCCGTTGCTGTTGTCAGCTCAGTGGATTCACATGCCACTGACCGCACTGCTCTGCTCGCCTTCAAGTCCGACGTCCGGGGCAACCTCTCCGACTGGGGCAACCTCTCCGACTGGGACTCCCCTAAACTGTGCAACTGGACTGGTGTCACATGTGACTCGACAGAGCGTGTGGCACACTTCTTCTCCACAACTCCAACCTCAGTGGCATCATCTCCCCGGCGATCGGCAACCTCTCCGCTCTCAAGACGCTTGACCTCCGATTCAACCAGCTCTCCGGCATCATCCCGCCGGAGCTCGGCATGCTGTCCTAGCTCCTGGTACTGAGACTTGGCCACAACAGTCTCACCGGTAGCATCCCAGAGGCTGTCGCTTGCAACTGCACCTCCTTGACCTCCATTTCCTTGAACAGCAACTCCCTCCTTGACCTCCATTTCCTTGAACAGCAACTCCCTCCTTGACCTCCATTTCCTTGAACAGCAACTCCCTCACCGGTGAGATCCCTTTCTCTGCACGTGCCGGCTTCCGCGCCTGCAGCACCTCAGCCTCTACGCAAACAGGCTCGAAGGCAGCATCCCTTTGTCCATGTCCAACTTCACCAGCCTTAGTTGGGTGCTTCTGCAGTACAATTCCCTTGGCGGTGTGCTGCCATCCCAAATGTTCGACAAGATGCCGTTCCTCCAGTATCTCTACCTGTCCGGCAACAGATCCTCAAGTGACGGCGGTAACACCAACCTTGAGCCTTTCCTTGCCTCTCTAGTGAACTGCACCGGATTGCAGGGGCTTGGAGTGGAGTCGAACGGCCTCGGAGGCGAGATCCCGGCGATCATCGGTCAGCCAATCTCTCCAAGCTCTACCTGGAAGACAACAAGATCACCGGTGCAATTCCTCACACCATCGGAAATCTCCACTCGCTGACAGATTTGGAGCTACAATATAACATGTTGGAGGGGCCAATCCCCACTGAGGTGTTCCATCCACGTCGGCTTACACAGATAATCCTCTCAAATAACCAGATCAATGGTGAAATACCCAAATCCATCGGCTTAGCTCGACAACTAGTTACCATCGACATATCGAATAACAGTCTTCGAGGCGAAATACCAGAGATCTTATCGAACCTCACTATGTTGGAGAACCTTCTTCTTGACAATAACCAGCTCTCAGGTGCCATACCACCTGGTCTTAGCTGCCAACTGATCCTGGACCTTTCTCACAACAAACTTACAGGCCAGATTCCTACTGGCGTACCTAGGCTTATTAGTAGCTTCCAGATGTACCTTAACCTCTCTAACAATCTCCTAGAGGGCCCCCTAACATTGGAATTTGGCAATATGGAGATGATCCAAGCTCTTGACTTGTTGGGAAACAAACTCTCTGGGGGCCTTCCATCTTCCATAGGCGCTTTGAAAAACCTCCATTTCCTTGATGTTTCTTTCAACAGCCTTACCGGCATGATTCCTCAGTCTCTGCAAGGGTTGCCGCTCCGGTTTGCCAACTTCTCACACAACAACTTCACCGGCGAGGTGTGCAATGGAGGTCATTTGTAAACCTCACCGACGACTCATTTCTCGGCAATCCTGGCCTATGCGGGTTTATCCCCGGCATGGCACCATGCATTAGCGGAAAACATGGCCGCTCACACGTAGCCATCGGTGTCGTCGTCACCATTGCTGTCGGCTTGCTGGCTATGGTGTGCGTTGTTCTTGATCACTACCTAATGAGGGGTTGTTTGAGGTTGACAGCCCCATCTAGTCAACTATCACGTTTCCCGATAGGATTATGATAGAACTGAAAGTACTTCTAGGCATAGATCAGTGGGTAATACTTAGCATAGATAGAAGACTTGGGTCGCCAAGCGCAGTCGCGGCCATGGTGCCGCAGCGACGTGGCCACTGGTGTCGGAGTAGGGGCAGCGACGTGGAGGCGTGGTCCAGTGGCGGCGGCGAAGGTGATGGCGCTTCCCGTCGCTTACAGCGTGCCCTTCTAGATCGGACTAGGGTTAGGACATGGTGGGGCGCTGACGACTGCGGTGAACCTTGTGTCTTGTGCCCGGACCCCACCTTTCTCTTTATAGCGTTGCGCGACGGGGACCCATCAGCCAGGAGTACGACTGGGCACCCCCAATCAGGGCGTGGATCAAGGGCTCAATTGGCCGTTGGGCCAACTGGTGGAGATCAATCTAACATTCTTCGCAGATCAGTGCATAGAGCATGCTTTATCGTCATGGTCAGTTGCCATTAGATTAAACAGTTATAATACACCTCTCTATTTTGAAACAGATTCTCAACTAGGCCATTAGTATCCTAGAAATCATAGGCTTTCCTATAAATCCATATCGACTGTGTGTTTTCTAAACGCACTGGGTGGTTAGCCTTTGGTAAGCGGATCCGCAAGTAGTTGCTTGGTACTTATATGCTCAATGCTTTTAAAATGATTCTGGATTTTCTCCTTTACAACATATAATTTAATGTCAATGTGTTTGGCATCACACTTGACTTGTTGTCTTAGGAGTTAACTACTTTAAATGGTTATTGTTGTTGACTATCATTGTTAAATCCAGGTACATATTCCCTTAACCACTTTTGCCTATTCCTGAGGCTTTATGACAAGCTATACTATGATATGCATCATTGATGACACCACAACTGTTTCATTTGAGCTTTTCCACAATAATACTCCAATTGCGAGTGTTAGCAACTACTGTGGATTTCACTACACATCTCGCTAAAACTTAACATTTATACCCACAACTATTTGATAGTACTTGTTCTTTCTTACTCAGTATAAGACCTATGATACTTTGCAAAAATTGTAAGACATTCTTAACCCCATTTCAGTGATAAATATCCCGGATACGTAAGCTACGTCAGAGTAAGTTTTTTACCTGTACATTCATTAAGCTTTCAATAGCTGAAGCATATGGAAACATGTTCATTTGATCGATCTCATATAGGTTCCTGGAACACTGAAAGTTCCCTAATCTATTACCCTTGACTATAGGAGCAGGCGTAGATTTACTCGCATGCATACTTTATTTCTTTAGAATCTTTTTAAGTATGCCTTTACAATAGTCCTAATACCCCTTTTCATCTATCTCGGTGAATTTTAATTTCTATAACCAATTGAAGCTTTACCAAGATCATTCACATTGAAACTTGAGGACAAACTTCTTCTCCAATGGCAAATTAACATTAATACTAATGAATAGGATATCATCTATACACAGGATGTGGAAAAAGAATTTTCCATTCTTGAACTTCGTATAAACGCTATTGTCCTTCTCATTTTCTTTAAACCCAAACTTTCTTATTGTTTCATCAACTTCAAATACTACTGTCTAGAGACTTGTTTTAACCCATAAATGGATTTCTACAGTGGCATCCCATACGTTCTTTTTCTTCCACGACAATGTAAACGTTTTCATATAAATCCCCGTTGAGGAATGTCGTCTTTACATCCATCTGATGTAACTCTAAATCATAATGTGCCAATAACATCATTATGATTCTAAAAGAATCCTTGCATGAGACTGGAGAGAAAACTCTCATCATAATCTATTCGTTCTCTTTGCGTAAAGCCTTTTGCT